ATATGTAGAACTGTATGTTCTCAGTTGTCATGTTCTAGATCAGTTTTGGTTTACATGGATTAGGATAAACATGAATGACTGATTTTCATGTGTAATCTAAGTTTTTATTCTTAACTGTATTACATATTGCAGAAAATTCTTAGCAAACTGAATGCTGACAATGTTGTTTATAAATATCTGTATTTTAATTCTAAGTAGGTGCTGTGCCTTTAATTTCCATCCTGCAAAAGCAACCTCATTAACTCATCTCCAACCAAACTTTCCTTGGTAGAATCATCACTCTGGCTTTAGGACAAACAATTTAAATTATATTTTCATTAGCGGCATACTCCTTTGAATATGAGTAAAAAGTAGTGGAAAAGCACCTATTTCTGGGTTTGCCATTACATTTTTAATGACAAACTTCTCATTTTAACATGTTGGTTTTGATTCTCTTAAAAGTTACTGATTTCAAACATAAACAGTCATCGTTTATTTACTATTTATGCTTCTATAATGTATAGTCAAGCAATCATGCAAAATTAAACCATCTAAAATGTCTGTAGTTTAAAAATCATGACATTTCAGCCAAAAGACCCTAAGTGGGATCTGAGGCCAACAAAAAGGTGACGTTTTTAAAATCTTGAAGTTACCATGAAGAAATTAAAGACAAAATTTTAAAATGTGAAAATCACAATTCAAATCTCATTCTTTGTCATATAATCTGAGGCACGCTTTCCTCTCAGGAAAAACAAAAAAATTCAAATCACATGCACAAATCAACCAAACCATAGCTAGGAAGAAATATGGATTAGCATGCACAGGTAAAGACAATATAATTCCCAGTTAAAAAAGCTTGAGTTAAATACACATAAAATAAGCATACATAGAATGCTTTATAGAACAGTGTTGTCTAATGGAGGTCTTTTCCCCAAAGTACACTCAGAATCTGATACATGGTATAGGCAACACATATATTTAAGTGTAAAGAAAGCTAAGGAAAAGAATAATTTTTAAAATATAACATTTTAATCAATCTAATTTTAATCAGTCTTCAATTTTAGTCCGAAGCTTGAAACAAAGGCTGTCACTTCTCCAAATTCAGTAGCTTTATGATCATGGTTTGGAAATATGTTAAAGATTTAACCCCTAGCAAAGGATCCTTGGTATTCAGTCAAAAAAGCATAGTAGAAATAGAATGCTTAGTCCATAGCTAACGTGCTGGGCTTTGGGGTTCCTCCCTTCCACATTCCTAAAAGTATTTCACTTTGTTTAGGTTTAAGCCTCTCTACCCTGAACCTATTCTCTGGGGGCAGGTCTAGTAAGTCAACGTTAAGCAAGCTCCCTTCTCAGTAGTAAGGGTAAGATGGACTATGGGTTGGGTCAGTCCTCTGCAGCATCAACTCACCACCAAACCTTGTCAAGTGGGTACCAGAACATGGAGACACAGAGACAGTGGGTCTCAATGGTATGAGCCAGTCTCAGGTTGAACTAGTCCTGAAGTAAGCCCTCACTTTGAAGTCCCTGTTCATGAGCTGTCCTCTGCATTATACAAAAAACAATGGCATATGTGGTTCCTGTCATGGTCAGAAGATGACCCACCTCCCTTTTCTTGGTTGCCATGGGTTTTAAACAGGTAATTAGCTCCCAATTACAGAAACAAAATGCCTCTAACAGCAGAATAGATTTACTACTTCCAAGAACAGAGCCTGAGAGAGAAAGTGCTATTTACAGGCACTGTAAATGTCAAGGGAAAATAACCGTCAATGCTGTGTGATATGTGAGATGTTATTTTGGCCCATGTAGCACTTAAAATGTATATTTAACTAAGCTTGAAGGTCCTCTTTTACTTGGTTTATTTCATTATACATAAACATTTTGAAAAAAATACAAAGTGAAGAAAACATGATAGCTACCTTCATAGAGGTCTTCAGGATAACTTGGGTTTGTCTCTAAAAAACAGAAGACATTAAGGTTTGTGAGTACTAATTTTGGGGTTAAAAACTGCTTACCTCTACCAACTAAAACATGCTACATATACACTGAGGTTGTCATATCCAGATAGGCTGTTTCACAGGATGAGTACGAAAGACCTGAAATTCTGGTGTTGCTGACGTAACTCTGTCTCCCTCCCCATTCTTCAACACCAGCCCTCCAAAAAGAAAAAGAACAAGAAATTACGAATCAGTTTGGGAAAACCTGAGATCAGTAAAATTTGGCCATTTCTCCTCTTGTGCTATGTCCATTATACAGTTTGCTATGTTAACTGTAATTATGGTATTTTTATTCTAAACAAAGTAATTTCATTCCACGTTTGTTACTCTGGTGTTCTGGGGTCACTGTCAATCTGTGAGCAGAAGAATTGTTTATATTCATGCACCTGTCAGTTTCCTGCACAATGACACCTAATACACAACTTTTCTCTACCCTCCTCTCCTGGAGCGAGATGAGGGTCCTAAGGTTTCTTTGTTCTAACATAGCACAGAAAAATAAAATATACTTTCTCCATTGATAATTTTGGCTAATAAAAGATGATAAATAAATGTTATATCAGAGAGAAATGTGAAAGTGTAGCAAAGTAATTGGCCGGCTCTGCCGCCACTAGGTGATCAAAATATTCCACTCTAAGGTTTTTCTATGAAATTCGCAAAAAAGAAATTTTATTTTTTCTTTATTTCTTTCTTTTTTTAATTTAGCTTTTTAAATTTTATACATTTCCCACTCAAATTCAGGCCCCCTCCCCCATCCATGCCTCCCTCTTCCCCCCACTGAACCTATGCACTCTGCCATACATGCAGAGTCCTATTCATTCAGGTGTTTATACCCAAGTGTCCTTCAGTGTAAAGACATCCACCGGAGTACACTCAGCCCATCCAGTGGTTTATGTAAGCTATACTCTCCCTCACCCAGCAATAACCAGTCTCAAATAGTTCTTGATCTAATGCTGTCCTACCACCTATTTTTTACCTCCCCTTTGGGCCCTTGTTTAATTGAGCTGACATGGGCCCTGCACTCGATACCACTGCTGCCACAGGCTCACATGAGCAAGCCTCCAGTGACCTGGAAGCCTCCACCTCCCTGTAGTCATGAACCAGCCCTGCCTCCTACAATCTTTCTGTCTCCTCTTCTGCAGTGGTCTCTGAGCCATGGATGGGTGAGGTTCCATAAAGGAGTTCTATCCTACACTCTACAGTCTCATTCTCTTGGCCAGATGTGGCCTTCTGTGTGTGTGTCCCACGCTGATGTACAAGGGAGCCTCACTAGTAAGAATTGAGAGGTGCACTAGGCCTCTCTCTACCCCTTATTCCACTATGTTCCATGGGCCTTAGTTGTAGAGATTCGGCTGCATATATGTCACCTAGTACTGGGCATCTCCCATATGTATGTTCTCTATGCCTGACTAGATGTGCAACTCTGCAGTAGCCTCTATTTGATGCAAAAACAAGCTTCTCCGATGAATGCTGTATGGCATGTTGTCACTCTGAGGGAGGTCTCTTCTATCTGGCACCGTGTTCCCTGTCAAACAGCTCCCAGGTGTACATATGCATTAATGTTCAGACACTCTATGTGCATTTCTCGTAGGGTCTCTAGGGCTTCACTTTTCCCTCTAGGTTTCCTAGACCCCGAGATTCACTCATCTCCACTTCTTTTTTTTCCCATCCAGCTTCCTTCCTCCCTCCATCCCTCATCACAATGCCCCCATTGTCCCCACCCTCCCCACAATACCTCCTGACTCCTGCCATCTTTCCCCTCCTGACATTCCTCCCTCTCCCAGCCCTTTGCATCAGCAAGAACTGGTGAAAAAAAAAAAAAAATCTGCTACTCATTCTCCAAGGCTAGCTAGCTGGGTCTCTACGTGAAAGTGCATTAGAAATGAATTCAGCTGTGTTAAAACACTAAGTGATCACAAAGCCAATTTCCACAGCTCTTCCCTGTACTTTTAGTCTTGACTTGCCAGCAGTAAAACTTATACACCATAGAGCTTACTTAGTTTTCATTTTACTTCTGAATCTTTAGCAGAAAACTGTCATTACAAGGAAGTGAAATAAGCCAGATTTCTGCTCATGAATTCTGCAGTAAATAACCAAGGCTAGTCTAAATGAGGACACAAATAAGATTGGACCTACTGTTCAAATTAGAACTGCAACATACTTCAGTGAGAAGAATATCTGATTTACTAGGGAAAACATGGATGGCTGTGCACTTTCAGGGATGCTGCATAGTGCTGCATGGTCCATTCACTATTCACTACTCCAGGGGCACCTGTCACTGAAGCCTGCGTGAACAGCACCACCTGAAACTCATGCAGCTTTGTGATCACACTGTGTTAATTCATATAAAATCATCGATTCTGGGAAATTAAAAGATGGGCTAAAGATCTAAACAGAGAGTTCTCAAAGGAAGATATAAAGATGGCTAAGAAACATCTTAAAAACTGTTCAACACTGCTAGTAATTAGGGAAATGCAAATTGAAACCACCCTAAGGTATCACGTTACCCCAATCAGACTGGTTAGGATCAAGAGAACAAATGATACCAAATGCTGGCGAGGATGTGGAGAAAGGGAAACGCTCATTCACTGCTGGTGGGATTGCGAACTCGTGCAGCCTCTATAGAAAACAGTGTGGTGAACTCTTAAAAAACTAAAACTGAACCTACCGTATGACCCAGTTATACCACGCCTTGGCATAAACCCAAAGGACTTATCCTATTGTAGAGGCACTTGTACAACCATGTTTGTTGCTGCTCTTTTCACAATAGCTAAGAGATGAAAGCCACCTAAGTGCCCCTCAACTGACTAGTGAAATAATGAAATCTGCAGGCAAATCACTGGATCTAGAAACTGTTACACTAAGTGAAGTAACACAGATTCAAAAAATCAAAGACATATATTCTCCCTCATTGGGTCCTAGCACCAAATCCTTTTAAAGTCCATGTTCTTTTAATAAGATGATGCTATATAGCAGTCTCTACTGTGTGAAATAACTACCATCATCACAACTTAAGCTGAGCCTGATCGCTAAACATCATTATAATTGGGAAATTTCTATTATATTTGACGGCTTTCCCCAATATTATTTCAAAGTCGTTTTGAAATACTGTCAGTATGTATTATCAGAATTAAAACATCCTGAAAAGTTTCTGTCTTGAAGACTGCCTCTATGCGGTCTGAGGGATCATTCAGTGAATAAAGCAGGAAGAAGTCCCAGGGTTAACCTTCCTGATGTCATGTGCAAGGCGCCCACAAATCCTCTGAAACCCTTTGGCTTTGTAAAGACCCTCCACCAAATGCTGTCCTCCTTATCAACAGGGTTTACTCCTGGCTGAAGGAAAGGCTCTTTAACTCCAAGGGAGCAAAGCATTCTTGGAGCTGCTAAGTAATCCAGTATCTTATTAGATCTCAGACCTTGCTGTGCTGTCTTCTCACCCTCCCTTCAACACTCAGTGTGAGCTGCCTGGGCTCTTGTGCTCCACTAGCCACACTCCTTGCAGGCCTCCTCCAGGTGTCCTTGAATTCTCCTCCTGCTTGTCCCAAGCCCGCTTCCTAGTCCTCCTCAGCCTTTGCTCTACATCTGCCAACCTATCGTGGCTGTATCACCATCCTGAGCATACCGTAACCCAAGACTCCAGAGCAAGACAAGAACAGCACGAGGATGGTAGGTAGGCTGTCCAGACTCTTTCTGGAGAGTGAAATCCCACATCAGAGGCCATGGCTTAGGAACAGCTAAACTAGAACCATTCTTTTCTTGCATGGATGCAGGGTCTGAGAATTCTAATTTCAAACCCATGTTTCTGAGTCAAAGAAAGGTGTCTTGTTTCAGAGTCATCAATTTGATTTATAATTTTTAAGTATCTGGTTATAAGTATGAGAACTTTAATTTGTACTGGCGTTACCAACCATCTAAGATTGCCTGGGACCAAGGATATTCCTAAGACATTGGGCTTTGAGTTTTGAAGCTAGAACAGTCTCAGCCAAGCCCACACAGTTTACCCAGGACCAAGGTTTTGCCTGAATGTGAGCCTTTCGTTGGGAACACTAGGAAGAGTGGGTTATGCTGATCTCTTTTTACATCCTCATGCATCCCACACATGGGAGATATGGGGTGAGTCTGCAGCACCATTTGCTTTTATGCCTGCAACTCGATAAAAATAAAAGACAGAATTTTAAATCGGTTTATCTGGGCCACAAATTTCAATGACCTCCCTGGCTTTGAGTGATATACAGACTTAAGAAACCTCTTCACAGAAAGGGAACACCACCAAACACTACTCACACAAAGCCCCTAGCAAAATCCAAGAACATCAAATCAATTCAACACAGCAAATGTTGGGTATAGACAAACAGGATTTGAGGTAGGATCATAAATGAACAGGTTAGCCGACAACCAAGGAAACCATTCCTTTTCCAGACTATTCGTGCCAGTGCATAGCCCTATCAAGCTTACCAATGAAACAATTGGGCCGCATTTAAACTTCCTGAAATAGCACTATTTTCCCTAATTGCATTTTCCCAGATGCATGAGAAGCGCTGTCTCTTTACTTTCTTTGTCAGCAGTAAGCAAATTCAGTTGTGATTGTGAGCAAGGAGACGGCACAGGAGCGGCATGCAGCTGCTGGCCCCCTCCCCCAAGCTTACTAAGCTGCACCTGATGAATCTACATTCCACAACGAAGAAATGCCTCTTAGCCTACAGAGGGTCAACACGCCAGGTACACGGGGCACACACGGATCTTGAGTTCATAAGAATCAAGGGATTCAACATTCATTTCAAATGCAGACACAAAAACGGTAACAATTCCTTCTAGAAGATAGACTTCTGGCAACAGCCAAACTTTGAAAATGTCCCACCGCTTTTTAGTTTATTGCCTAACAGGCTCCTTTTAAGTTTAAATATGTTTATTTATATACTATTGCATACAATGATATATTAAAGTTAAGGATCGCTGTTGGA